CTGAGTTGTAAGTGTTCTTTATACATTCTAAGTATGAGTCCCTTATCAAATGAAGATAGGCAATACTTTTTCCCATTCTGTGGGTTTTTTTCAAGTTCTTGATGGTATTGTTTGTAGCACAAAAGTTTTTTAATTTTGATGAAGTCCCATTTTTTTTTCTTTTGTTAATTTGTGCAAAAATGGTAGCTAGGATGATCTTGACAAGAAAGCATTGACTCTGTAGATCAATTTGGGGAATATTGCTCTCTTAACAAAATTAAGTCTTTCAATCTATGAACATGAGATTACTTCTATCATTCCAATATTTTCACATATCTATGTCAGCTTCCTTGCCCCACATACCCATTCAGAGATATAACCCAGGTCTATAGAACATTATGGTATTCAAAGATATAGCCTCTGTTTTCTTATCAGTCAAGTGCAAATAATAATACATATCTCATAGGATGAAAGGATTAATGATAAATATACAGAACACTTTGCATAGTGCCTAGAACAGTAAATGTTCAGTTAGCCTTAGCTATTTATCTGAGTCTGTTTGGGCTGCAATAACAAAATACCACAGACTGGGTGGCTTATAAAAAACAAAAACTTGCCCTGGCCGGTTTGGCTAAGCGGTTAGAGCGTCGGCCTTCGGTCCAGAGAGACCCCGAGTTCAGTTCCCGCTAAGGGCACGTACCTTGGTTGCGGTTTGTCCCCAGTCCTGGTTGGTCATGCAGGTGGCAGCCACTCAATGTGTCCCTTTCACGTCGATATTTCTCTCTCTCTTCCTCTCTCTCCCTCCCACTCTACCTGAACAAAAAATGGAAAAATGTCCTTGGGTAAGGATAAAAAACACACACACAAAAAAAAAACCCGAAAACTTATTTCTCACAATTCAGGGTGCCACCATGGTCAGATCCTGGTGAAGGCCCTCTCCCAGGTCTGCAGACTCCTCCCTGTATCCTCATACGGTGAAAGGGCCAAGGGAGCTGCCTCAGGCCTCTTTAATAAGAGACAAACCAAAGAACTTATATGCATATATGCATAACCAATGGACACAGACAATAGTGCCGTGAAGGCAGGGTTGGGGGCGGGAGCGAGAAGAAGGAGGTCAATGGGGGTAAAAAAGGAGGGAAATCTGTAATACTTTCAACAATAAAGATAAATTTTTAAAAATCAGGACATTAATCACATTCACTAGAGCTCCGCCCACCTGACCTAATCACCCCCAAATGCATTACCTCCTAGTAGTATCACCTTGGACACTGGGATGTCAACATATAAATTTGGGGGTATGCAAATATTCAGACTATAGCACAATTTTGGGGGGGGGGGGTTAATCCTCACCCAAGGATATTTGCTCCATTAATTTTAAAATTTTATTTATTCTAAATTGTATTAACTTATTTTTGTCTCCATTGATTTTTTTTAGACAGAGTGGAAGGGAAGGAGGGGGAGAGAGAAAGCAAGAGAGAAACATCGATGTGAGAGAGACGCATGGATTGGTGCCTCCCGTTAGTGCCCCGGCCAGGGGCTGGAAATAGAACCTGCAACAGATTGGTACACAGGCCAATGCTCCAACCACAGAGCCACACTGGCCAGGGTCATAGCATTATTTTTATTACATAGCACTTAATACTTAGTTGCTCAAAAATAGTTATTTTGACCTTTTAAAACAATAATTGTTTTAATAATAATTAGAGCCCTGGCCAGTTTGGCTCAGCAGTAGAACGTCAGTCTACAGACCAATGAGTCGCAGGTTCAATTCCGGTCAAAGGCACGTCCTCAGTTGTGGTTCGTCCCCGGCTCTGGTAGGAGTCATGTGGGAGGCAACCAGTTGATGTGTCCCTCTCACGTCACTGTTTCTCTCTCTTTCCTTTCTCTCCCTCTCTCTCCCTCCCACTCTATCTGAAGAGAAATAGAAAAATATCCTCGAGTGAGGACTAAAAAAAGAAAAAGAAAAATTATTAGAGCCCTAACTTTCCTTAAGTATGCATCCCCATCCATCTCTTTGAAATTCTTTGACTTTATATTTTGTTTCCCCCAATTTTTTCCCCACCTTCCTTAAGGATTGTCAAAAGCATGCTTCTGCCACACCCCCAGAATCCTCCTAGAGTTGCACTCTGATAAAAAGCATGGGTGCTGCCCTGGCCAGTTTGGCTCAGCGGTTAGAGCGTCGGCCTGCAGTCCAGAGAGACCCGGGTTCGGTTCCCGCTAAGGGCATGTACCTCGGTTGCAGTTTGTCCCCTGCCCTGGTTGGGTCATGCGGGTGGTGACCACTCGATGTGTCCCTTTCACGTCGATGTTTCTTTCTCTCTCTCTCCCTCCCACTCTATCTGAACAAAATATCAAAAAATGTCCTCGGGGTGCTAATGGAAAGGTCCCAAAGAAATAGCTGGTCAACTAATCAGAGCTATTACTTTTCATTCCCATGTAACATAGGTACATTTTCTTTCTTTCTTTCTTTCTTTCTTTCTTTCTTTCTTTCTTTCTTTCTTTCTTTCTTTCTTTCTTTCTTTCTTTCTTTCCTTCCTTCCTTCCTTCCTTCCTTCCTTCCTTCCTTCCTTCCTTCCTTCCCTCCCTCCCTCCCTCCCTCCTTCCTTCCTTCCTTTATTGATTTCAGAGAGAGGAAGTGAGAGGGAGAGAGAGATAGAAACAAAGATGAGAGAAAACATTGATTGGCCACCTCCTGCATGCCCCACACTGGGGATTTGGCCCATAACCTGGGCATGTACTCTGACCAGGAATCGAACTGTCACCTTCTTGGTGCATGGGTCAATGCTCAATCACTGAGCCACACCAGCCAGACACATAGGTACATCCTAACAGTCTAATCTGCACACTGAGAGTGTTTCTTTTTTTTTCTTTTATTGTTATTTTTAAAATTTATTTTTGTTACAGATATCCCCCTCCTCCCGCAGACACCCTCCTCCCTATCCCACCTCTGACCAAGCATTGTTGTCTATGTCCATTGGTTACGCATACATGAATATAAATTCTCTGATTTATATTAGCCCTCCCCTGGCCCTCTCCTCTGAGATTATGAGGTTTGTCAGTCTGAATCATAGAAAGTGTTTATTATTTAAAAAAAAAAATTTTTGTTTGTTTTTTTATTGATTTTTTTAGAGAGAGAGGAAGGCAGAGAGAGATAGAAACATTGATGTGAGAGAGAAAAATCGGTTGACTGCCTCCTGCACGTCCCTTACTAGGATTGAGCCCGCAACCCAGGCATGTGCCCTGACTGGGAATGAAACCCGGACCACTCAGTCCATGGGATGACACGCAATCCACTGAGCCACACCAGCTGGGCCGAGAGGGTGTTTCTTTTCAAATGTAAATTAAGTCCAGCCGGTGTGGATCAGTGGTTGAGTGTCGACCCGTGCACCAAGAGATTGCCGGTTCAATTCCTGGTCAGGACACACACCCAGGTTGTGGGCCTGATCCCCAGTTGGGGGCATGCAAGAGGTGGCCAATCGATGTTCTCTCTCATCAATGTTTCTATCTCTCTCTCCCTCTCACTTTCTCTCTCTCTCAAATCAATGAAGAAAAAGAAAAAAATTTTTAATATAAATTAAATCACTTCACTTGCCTGTAACATCCCCTCCTTCTCACAATAAAAAAAGCATTACAATGGCTCCATAAAAATTATAAGACTTGGTTCAGCCAGTGTAGCTCAGTGGTTGAGCATCGACCCATGCACCAAGAGGTCGCCAGTTTGATTCCCAGTCAGGACACATGCCCAGGTTGTGGGCCCAATCCCCAATAAGGGGCATGCAGGAGGCGGCCAATCAATGTTCTCTTTCATTGATGTTTCTATCTCTCTCTCCCTCTCGCTTCCTCTCTCTCTAAAATCAATGAAGGAAAAAAAAGTTATAAGACTTGTAAGGCCCTATGTGATCTGGTGCATGGCTACTCTTTGACCTCATCTCTGACCATTATGCTTTGTCCTAAGCATTTCTTCTAAACTGCCAGGCACAATTCTGCATCGGGGCCTTTGCATTTCTTTGTTTTGTTTTTTTTTTCTGCCTACAAATCTCTTCCCATAGATATCCACTTAGTTATTATTTTTTTAATTCCTTAATTTTCTTGGCTTAAATATCACCTTATCAATGAGGCTGACCACCCTATATAAAATAGCAAAATCCTGCCCTGCCTGGTTTGGCTTAGCAGTTGGAGCATCGGCCTGTGGACCAGAGAGTCCAGAGTCCTGGGTTCGGTTTTCACTAGGGGCACGTACCAAAAAAAAAAGCAAAATCCTTTTTCCTGTTATCTTGATTTATTTTTCTTCTTAGCACTTATAATCACCTGACATTGCATATTTATTTGTTTGGTCATTTATTTTCTTCTGTAGAATAATTACATGAGGACAAATTTTTATGTTTTGTTTTCTGCGATATCCTATGCCTATAATAATCCCAGGCACATTTGGTACACATTAAATATATGTTGATTGGATGGCCTTCAGAACTGTCTTCTCACATAAGCAAGTAACTTTAGTAATGAGAAGAGAACAGCACTACAATGGGAGACTGCTTTCAGTTAGATGGGATCTTCTTGCCCTGGTTGATCAAGGGATGCATTCAATCATTGGTTCAAACACATCTAGATGCAGTCTTGTCCATTTAAATTGGCAGGATTTCATGAAATGTTAGAGCTAGTTCTAAAGTGGGCAGAGAATTAGAGATACAGAGAGTTGAAAGGTATCTGATTCCCTGCCCAAACTCCTCCTCTTCCTCCACAAAATATGCTTTCTGTGTATGATTGGTTTAATAATTTTATCCTTTTGTTATTTAAAAAATGGATCTAATGCTGCTACTCTGCCTTCTCCAAAGATCAGTAGTTCTCTTGGTAACGGATTTAGAAGATCATGCTTTTGACAACTATGGTTAACCTTGCAGATAAAGGGCATAGCAGCATGCCTGTGGACTAAACTACAGTTCCCAGACTGCATCTCTGAGAGGATTCTGGGAAGTGTGGCAGAGGCGGAAGTCCAACTTCCCAGGAACATTTGGAGTTTCCTGGTTTCTGCAGATTATTGAGGCCTAGGACAGCACCCCCAACAATTCAGAGTGAGTACAGCAGGACAAAACTGTTCAGGTTCTATGTGCAGGAAGGATTTTATGAGGAGGTATAATCAGAACTTGGAAAAAAAGCTCTTAGTTACAGCATTTTGCTATTTTACCTTAGTCCCTTTTCCTTCTTGCAGAAACCAAGGAATGATCACAGTTTTGCATCGTAACTTGTGGAACAATCTGATTAATTACAGCTAGAAATTTTCTGGTACTTTTTTGGAGAGTCGTTTAAAAATGAAATTTGCTTACTTTTCTGCATTGTGCCCGAATTATTCTTGAATTAAAGGAGGAAAATTTTGATTTCAGAAAGTAAACTATAAAGCTGGTCAGTGAGACTTTGACGTCTGTATCCCAGTGGCTCCTCAATTTTGCACATTTCCCAGCCCATTCTGGTCCACTGTAATGAAAAGACAGATCTCTGAAAAGAGCCCTCTCAAACATTACTGAACCTAGCCTCTTGGTAAAAGTAACTAGAGCGATTCATGATGGGCTTTTTTTGTCATGCTGTAGTGCTTTATGAATGAATCTTCTGTTAAGATGAACAGGATGAGAAACCTTTCAGTACAGGGAGTCCAAATAAATTATGAACCTTAAGGGATTTGCCTTCACTATTTAATAGTTTTCAGTAAAAACAATATTACCTTTCATCTCTATCAGTCTTTGTACTTTTTAAAAAACACACATAATAAATGAATGTCAGAAAATGCTTTCCCATATATTTCTTATCAAAAGATGAGCTTTGGAGCCAGATAGCCCTGGGTTTGACTGCTGCTCCCTAAATTGTGATCTCTGAGTGGTCAACTTCTCAAAGCTTTATCTTCCTGTAAACTGAAATAAATGTATTCATTCATTCACTCACTCACTCACTCGTATATATTGTATTTTACATTGTGCTAGCTGCTACAGATAGTGAAGACACAATCCTAACCTTTAGTGATTTTACAATCTAACAGATCTGAGAATTAGGTATGCAAAAGCTGACATAGTTGTAACACATTTTAGATCCATATTCTCTTCTTCCTTTCCCTGTGAGAAGTGAGGCCAAAACTAAGTTCTGACAAGTTAGGTGACAGCCCCAGGTCATAAATTCAGTCAGTGGGAGAGGCAGGAATAAAAGAACCTGAGTCTCTCCAGTGCTACTTCCCTGTTCCTTCCTTGCTTTGGAGACATGCATTTGTACTATAAACAAAATAGAAGGCATGCCTAAACTTGTCATCTAAAGTAAATAATGGTGCTGATATGTTGTGCCAAGTGTATTTTGCGAATAGTGAACTTTTATCCTCAGCGTGCCATCAGGCAATAACACACTACTATATAGTTGCCAATTCAAACAATAACAACTATTCTGTTTGTAATGTGGCATTTGAGCAGATGGAGAGTATGGTAGCATGTTTACCAAATCTGAACCCCTGAGCCAAAGCACTTTGTACTATGCATCAAACTGAAGAACCCTAAAAGACAGTGAAAAATCACAAATATTTCAGAAAAAAAGTGTCAAATTTTCCCTGCAGTAGATTTCTGAATAGTATAGGGCTATTAAAAATTATAATTTCATCCTAAAATAATCTCTCATGTCCTCTTGACTATTAAAAGACCTTTTTATTGTCATTCTTTTGTACTTCAGTCTGAATGACCACTTCACAGAGAAAAACAATACATATAGCAGATGGTTCCTATAGTGCATTTTGGTGAATAAATTGTGGAATATACTGCAAATGTATTATATTTTAAAAATTAGAATGGTCAAAAGTAGAGTAAAATCACAATTAATAAATGAGCACAGGACATCATACATTTTACAAAAGGGGAACAAGGCCTATTAAATCTGAAAACCCTTTCAATCTCTATAGTAATCAAAGAAATTGAAAATTTTTTGTTTGTTTTTTTTTAAACCAAATGCTATTGAATCTTGTAAGTGTGACAATGTGTAGAAAAAGTTATTGATTTTAAAATAAAATTTATCCCAATAATTTTACTTTGGGTAACTTGTCTTAAAGAAGTAACTTGAAAATAGCAGCAGAGAAGTATTTCTGGTAATTTAAAATCAGAGCAACCTAAATGTCTAAAATCAGGGAAATGTTTAGCAAACTCAGTATGAGTATGCTTGAATGTAATATTACGTAGCTAAAAACTTTGTTTTTCTTTTTTTATCCTCACCCGAGGACATTTTCCCATTTTTTGTTCAGACAGAGTGGGAGGGAGAGAGAGAGAGAGAGAGAAACATCAGTGTGAAAGGGACACATCGAGTGGCTGCCACCCACATGACCAACCAGGGTGAGGGACAAACCGAAACCGAGGTACATGCGCTTAGCGGGAACCGAACCCGGGGCTCTGGACCGCAGACCGGTGCTCTAATCGCTGAGCCAAACTGGCCAGGGCTCTTCTTTGACTCTTAAATAGTCTCCATACTGCTTTTACGTAAAATGTTTATAAAAAAGAATATACAAGGAAAAATAAAGTTAAAAAATATATGCACAAGGGATCATTTAGGAAAGGAATTAGACTTAATCTTTTTTTTTAATCCTCACCCGAGGATATTTTTTTCATTTTTTGATCAGATAGTGTGGGAGGGAGAGAGAGGAAGAGAGAGAGAGAGAAACATCGATGTAAAAGGGACACATTGAATGGTTGTCACCTGCACGACCCAACCAGGGCCGGGGACAAACTGCAACCCAGGCACATGCCCCTAGCAGGAACCAAATCTGGGTCTGTCCGGACTGCAGCCCGACGCTCTAACCGCTGAGCCAAATTGGCCAGGGCTAGACTTAATCTTTATCTACTATGCTTATTACTGTACCAATGAAGGTACAATTCTCAGTTAAAATAAGTCTGTTTTCCTCTTGATTATAGATATTTTCTTCAAAGCTACATTAAGAACTTTACCATGTTTTCTACAAGCTCTGTGACCATCACCCAATGAGTCAGCAGGTCATGATACTTCACAAGGGGCAGTATTTAATAGCAAAAAGGAGGCAAAACATCAGGCAGTCAAGCATAGTGGGCCACACAGACTAGCTGACAGTCATAACTACATCCAAACAGCTCTTACAGTTTTCAGGATTCAAGGAACTAACCAATGGAATTCCTTTTGGCTCCTAGGGAATGTGATGATATATTTACTGGAAACAATGGCCTGGAAATAGCCTCACTGTGCAGTTAGGCCCAGAAACTACTACTTATTACACTTAATTTTTTTGTTGTTGTTGTTCAGATAGAGTGGGAGGGAGAGAGAGAGAGAGAAACATCAATGTGAAAGGGACACATCGAGTGGTTGCCGCCCGCATGACCCAACCAGGCCCAGGGACAAACTGCAGCCAAGGTACGTGCCCTTAGTGGAAACCGAACCCGGGTCTCTCTGGACTGCAGGCCAACACTCTAACTGCTGAGCCAAACTGGCCAGGGCTACACTTAATTTTTTTTTAAGATTCTTTTTTTCTTTATTGAGAGAGGAAGGGAGAGGGAGAGAGAGGTAGAAACATCGATGAGAGAGAAAGAATATTGATTGGCCGCCTCCTGCATGCCCCCCACCGGGGATTTGGCCCACAACCTGGGCATGTGCCCTGACCAGGAACTGAACTAGCGACCTCATGGTGCATGGGTAGACTCTTAACCACTAAGCCACGCCGGTCGGGCTTAATTATATTGTAAAAGAAGTATATACACATGGTTAAATTTTTTTGAAGTACAGAAATGTATAAAGTAAAAATTACAGGTACCCTTTTTGTTGTTGTTATTATTTTTAATCCTCCCCCAAGGGTACTTTTCCATTGATTTTTAGAGAGAACAGCAAGGGAAGAAGTGAGAGAGAGACACACACGCACACACACACCCCCCCCACACACACATTGGATTGGTTGCCTCCCGTACAACCCCGACCAGGGCCAGGGGTCAAACCTGCAACCCAGGTACATGCCCTTGACTGGGAATCAAACTTGAAATCCTCAGGTCCACAGGCTGATGCTCTAACCACTGGGCAAAACAACCAGGGCACAGGTACCCTTTTCAGTCTCTATCTCCATCCCACTCTGCCAAATTAGTCATTGTTAATAGTTTGGTGTGTGTATTTCTAATCACTTTTAAAATACAAATAAGCCCGGCCAGTGTGGCTTAGTGGTTGAGTGTCGACCCATGTACCAAGAGGTCACCCATTCGATTCCCAGTTGGCACATGCCCAGGTTGTGAACCCAATACCCAATGGGGGGCATGCAGGAAGCAGCCAATTGATGTTTCCATCTCTCTCTCTAAAACTCAGTAAAATGTTTTTAAATATAAATAAATATGTATCTAATTTATGTATTCTGATGTGTATGTCGTTTTCTTTATAAATTAATTTGATCAGGCTAAACCAACCAAAATTTACTTGCTTTTCTTTATATATTCTGAACAACTCCCCCTCTTACTATATATACATATTCTTCTGCTGTTATTTTATTTTATATTTATTTTATTTATTTATTTATTTATTTATCCTCACCTGAGGGCATTTTTTTTGATATTTTGTTCAGATAGAGTGGGAGGGAGAGAGAGAGAGAGAAACATCGACGTGAAAGGGACACATCGAGTGGTCGCCACCCACACGACCCAACCAGGACCGGGGACAAACTGCAACCGAGGTACGTGCCCTTTAGCGGGAACCGAACCCGGGTCTCTCCAGACCGCAGGCCGAAGCTCCAACCGCTGAGCCAAACTGGCCAGGGCTATCCTTTCCTTCTTAGGATGAATTCATAGAAGTGGAATTGCTAGGTGAAAAGAATGTTTGTTACACTCTCAGAGCTGTAGATGAGGTAGAAATATTGACTTTAAATACATTTTTTCCAGTATATCACACGTCTAATCACCTTTACTACTCTCCTAAGATACTTTGTAACCCACATATCACATATTGCCTTCTGTGAAAATTATTTGTTTTCTCTCTCCTGCTAGAGTCCCTTGAGAGTAGGATTTCCATCCTGTACATTTTTTGTATTCCTTAACAGTCCTTGCATAAAGTCAGTACTCAATAAATACTTTGTTGAATGTCATTTGCTAAATATAATTTACCCTTTGCTAGGACAGAGGTAACCAAAACTGTCCAAGGATTAGTCATCATCGTTTCATAATTATGCAGTCAAGACATAGGCCTAAACTTTAGCTGTTCCTCAGTAGTTTAGTGTCAAAGTTTGTTTCCTTTGGGCACAGTTAAAAGGGTGGTTGGTTATTTAACTATACTGATTTTCTAGTTTCTTGACTCTTTTATTGCTAATATGAAATGTATTTTTCATGGGAAATAAAATACTGACATACAATTTAAAAGGAATCAAATCTACAGAATATATTCTTAAGATACAGCATTTTTTCTCTGACAATGAGATACTAAAAAAAGAAAAGAAAATGTCTTAGATCCATGTAAATTTGCATAGCTGCCTTTTGAAATATCTCCCTAGTGGCCATGCTTTGATATTTTTCTTATCTACAGGATTCCTCCTACTTCATATTCAGAAGGCTTTCATACATTCTGAGAAATGTAGCTTCATTACTCTGGAGACCTTCCCAGGCTTACTTGGTCTATCAGAGTAATGCTAGCAGCTGAAACAAACTTTGAAGTTTTAGTAGCTTAATATGGTAGATGTTAATTTTTCACTCACAAGTTGTCCAAGGTTGGGGGTAGGGTTGGTTGGCAGTTGGCCTTTCTCAATGTAGCGATTCAAGGATCTAGGCTTCTCCATCTAATGGTTCTACCATTCTAGAGTCTTCCAAGCAGAAGGGGAGAAAGAGGATGGAAAAGGCATTCCCACTTCCTAACTGTTCCAGGCTAGAAGAGATACACATCACTCCACTCACATTCCATTGGTTTTGGCTCTACTTATATACAAGGGAGAAAAGAAATGTAGGCCTTGGCTCCTCAACTACCTCCCAGCAACAATTCCACAATATGGAAGGACAAACACACATTCACACATTTCTTATGGATAGTTAGCTGATTCTCAACAGATTAGGTAGGAAGAATGGGTTTTAATTTTGTACATTAGGAAAGAGGTATTGAAAAGTTAAAATTCTGCACTGGCCGGTTTGCTCAGTGGTTAGAGCGTCAGCCCGTGGACCAATGAGTTGCGGGTTTGATTCTGGCCAAGGGCATATACCTTGGTTGTGGTTTGTCCCCGGCCCTGGTTGGGGTCGTGTGGGAGGCAACCAGTCGATGTGTACCTCTCACTCAATCTGAAGATAAATAGAAAAATATCCTCGGGTGAGGGTTAAAAAGAAAAAACAAATCCTATAGCTAGTTAGTGATAGAAATGCATTAGTTAGGGTCATGTGGGAGGCAACCAGTCGATGTGTACCTCTCACTCAATCTGAAGATAAATAGAAAAATATCCTCGGGTGAGGGTTAAAAAGAAAAAACAAATCCTATAGCTAGTTAGTGATAGAAATGCATTAGAAGCCAGATCATCTGACTCCTATTCAGTTTTTCTTTCCTTAATATTAAAAAGTAATACTATTCTGGCTTATAGTATAACTCTTTTGGTGATTCATTACTTTAAATTTTGTTTCCTTTTAACTCCTCTTTCCTCTAAGGACCTGACAATGTCTCTATATTATGGAATTGCTTGTGGGAGAAAATCTTTCTGGTGCTATAGGCTGCTGTCAACCTATGTCACTAAGACCCGGTGAGTTTTAACCATCTGAGCTCTGATTATTCAATCTTTTGCCCATTAAATTATAAAAATCTCAAAACCCTATATTGAGAATTAAGGTTGTATGATCAAGATTTACATATAAGCATGTTCATTGACAATTATGTATAATTGGAAAAACTAAACTAAATTTCCAATACTATCTAAAATACCTGACATATTTAAATATAAGTTCTATTAAGATAGGAACTTTGCCTGGCCCATGTGACTCAGTGGATTGAGCGTTGTCCCATGGACGGAGAGGTCCTGGTTTGATTCTCAGTCAAGGCACCTGCCCTCGTTTTGGGCTTGATCCCCAGGAGGGGGCGTGCAGGAGGCAGCCAATCGATGTTTCTCGCTCACATTGATGTTTCTGTCTCTCTCTCCCTCTCTCAAAAAATCAATAAAAACATTAGGGAAAAAAACCCAAAAGGATAGCCCTGGCCGGTTTGGCTCAGTGGTTAGAGCATTGGCTTGCGGACCAAAGAGTAAAAGGTTCGATTCTGGTCAGGGGCACGTACCCCGGTTTCAGTTCTGTGCCCAGCCCTGGTCGGGGTTGTGTGGGAGGCACCAGTCGATGTGTCTCTCTCACATTGATGTCTTTTTTTCTCTCTCTACCCCCTTCCCTCTCTCCCACTCTATCTGAAGAAAAATGGGGAAAAAAAATGTCTTCAGGTGAGGATTAAAAAATATAATAATTTAAAAAAAAAAGAGAGGAACTTTGTCTTTTCCACTAAGGTACCCACAGTGCATAAAACAGTACCTGGCACATCGTAGGCACTAAAGCAATGTTGAAGGGCTAAATGAACAGGAAGAGAGAAGTGAATTAAATTATGGTATACCCACATGACAGAATCAAAAACTATACTGAATAGTAATTCATGAAGTTTCCTGAAAATAAGGTAAATAACTCCAGTCCTGGTACCCACCCCCACCAAAGAACTGAATAAAGTAGACTAGAAAAAAAAAAATCTACACCAGTACAGGAAAATGATAAGTGACTTATTTGTCTCAGCCTGGGCAAATTTGATATCTGTGAAGTTCAAATTACTAGCTTGCTCTCATATAGTTTGGGGTTTTAAATTTACACCATTGATATGGTGTGATCCAAAAACCCCCTACCGAAGAAAATAATTTAAGTAGTAGTCCTAGACTAATAGTACCCCTGGGGCACCTTGCAGAAGCAAATGTAACACTGCTCTGGAGGCAACTCACAACTAGGGCTTCTGCCAAATGTGAGTTCCCCATGCAGTGTAAAGGCACACAAGCATGCAATCTTATGTGAGCAAGGGTGGAGAACACAACAAAATGGCAATGCTTGTTTTAGATATTGTTGGGCATTTAGGTTATTTGCAGTACTCAGGCTGAGACTTTGAACAAAGTAAAAGAATTATTGAATAGTCTAAAAAATGAGTATGTTAAAGTGGTTAAATATATTAAAATTAATTTAAAAATCATGAGAAAAGAATACAATTCTATTAATAAGGAGTATGGTATAAAATATTAATGTTTAATAAAAAGGGCTATAGATTAATAGGTATGATTTTAAATAGATCTATATATGTATATATGCATAATATTAATAAATAGTTTGGAGAATTCGAAGCTGTAAACAGAGACCATTTCTGAGTGGTGGGATTCTGGATGATTTCCTTTTTTGAAAAAATTGATATTTGTATTTCCTGATTTTTATAGAATGACTATTTTTTACTTTTATAATGAGAAAAAAAGTGTAAGTTTGATCTTAGTTTTAGGGGTTCCATGCTATTATAACTAAAGGGGGAAAATGAATTTTTTTTGTTTGTTTTTTTTTGGGTACGTGCCCCTAGAGGGAAACCAAGCCTGGGATTCTCTAGTCCGCAGGCTGACGCTCCAACCACTGAGCCAAACCGGCCAGGGCGGAAAACAAATTTTTAAAAAGAATGTTTCTGATCAAGAAAAATGTAAGAAACTTTTTGGATCTCAGTTCCAGTTCTAGCAAGGCCCCAGGTTTAAGACCTTAACCTCGGTGTTTTGCTTTTTAGGGTCATTAGGGCAAAGCACAGGTTGTGCCACTCTTTCTGTTCTTTTACGAAGGCAGCTGTGTTTGTTCTATTGTTTATATTTGGGAACTTCTGCATGGCACATGTCTCTCCTTTGACAGACATTGAGTCTTTGCCCCAGGAAGCTGCAGTCGCTCATAGTAAGTTAAAAAATATCACAAGTATTAAAATCTCAGGTGTCCTTTGTCTTTTGTCTATAAAGAAATCATTGTAACACCTTTTATAACACAGTCAAAAATAGTACCTAAAGATGTTGCTTCAGTGTATTTATCATTTTGCTTTGTGGTTTTTCATGTTGAACCAACTCTGTCTACTGGTGTTGCAAAAGCTTACAGGTCATACTGAAAATATCTGTAAACCTGGTTTCTTGCTTAAGTGACAAAATATGCCATATACCCAAGCATCTGTTTTAGGGCTTTCAAGAGGCAAAAATTGATATCCTTAGGTCCAGAAAGAGAATCCACATTCACTCTCCTCTCAGCCCCACCACATGGTATGAACACTGACCTGATTCCCAAGGCTCTTAAAAGGATAGACTTAAGCCACCCATAATGAAGGTACCAGAAATGCCTAGAACTTACCCCAGTACAATTTCTTTTACAACAGAAGCTAATTATATGATGTTCTCTTTTCCCACATTTTTATTTTGTCTATTGAAAATATTACACTTATTGCCCAGCCCGGTGCAGCTCAGTGGTTGAGTGTCGACCCATGCACCAAGAGGTTGCCGGTTCAATTCCTGGTCAGGGCACATGCCCAGGTTTTGGGCCCAATCCCCAGTGGGGGGCAAACAGGAGGCAGCCAGTTGATGTTCCCTCTCATTGATGTTTCTATCTATCTCTCCCTCTCCCTTCTTCTCTCTCTAAAAATCAATAAGTAGAAAGTAAAAACCTGTAAGATCTTTTTAAAAAAAGAAAGAAAATATGACACTTTTTTTTTTTGGTACATGCCCCTAGTAAGAACCAAACCCAGGACTCTCTCTCTGGTCTGCAGGCCGATGCTCCAACCGCTGAGCCAAACCGGCCAGGACGAAAATATTACACTTATTAAATAAGACAAGTAATGGCTTCACTTTCCCATCAGTGGTGTTTTCAGTAAAGATAAGGAGCAAAAGGTGTCCACCTGGGGGAATAGATGTTTGAAACAAGGGTGCATTGTGCATGAAAGATAAAATTTGCTCTTTATCTTTCCTAGATTGAATAAGAGTTACTAAAGGTATAGTGTTTTTACTCTGTTTGCTTCCATCTCTAGGTATTCTGTGGTTGATGTTTTATCATTGTACTTGTTTTCCTTTCAGTCCACTGCAAGTAAATTCTTGCCTCACAGTGTAATATTGGCAAAGTACCTTGAGGTTCAATTCAGTAAATATTTATTACCCTTGAAGTTCAATTCAATAAATATTTATGGAATTGAATCATTCAATATGCTAATTACTAGAGATACAGAAGTAAGGCACACCCTGCCCCTAAGGAGATCTTAAGTCTTTCAGAGGAGACAGACAAATTAACAGATTGTACAACATAACTACAACCACAGAAGTATAGGCAAAGTATACAGTAGGACAAAGGAGGGACTCATTGCCTCAAATCCTTTACAGAGCATTTAGGCTGTAAATAAATAAGAGGAAATAACCTTGGTAGGAGAGAGATGTAGGAACAGAATTCTCAACGATGAATGCTGTCATGTAATTAATGTGATTTTGTGGGGTTTTTACTTCCCAAAATACAGGTATTTATTTGAACTGAAGGAAGATGATGATGCATGTAAAAAAGCCCAGCAGACAGGAGCATTTTACCTCTTTCATAACCTGGCTCCTTTGCTTCAGAAATCAGAACATCAGTACCTGCCCCCGCAGCATAGCCTATTAGGTAAGACCAAAGTGGACCAGTAGAGTAGACCAACCTGTGCAGAATTCAGTCCATATTGAATCCCTGAGAAGGATCCTCCAACTTTACAGTCCAGATTTTTCAAAGTGCTCTGTCAATTAAATTCTTAGTGTATAAACCTGTGTTGCTAAGTCAAATGTTATTTTGTGATGGTATGAACCACTACGACCTTAAACCAGGGGTTGGCAAAACTGCTGTCCAAACTGGAACCTGCCATGTTTTGTAAATAAATTTTTATCAGAACAGAGCCACACTCATTCATTTATAGATTGACCATGGCTGCTTTCGAACTATAATGGCAGAGCAGAGGAGATGTGACAGGGCTCAAAAGCCTAAAAGATTTTGCCAACCCCTGCCTTAGATAGGTGATTTCCAGCCTCCATGGAGTTGATCACTATTATACTGGCCAGGATTTGCATTGTGACTTCATTTCTCCTAAAAGGGTCAAAATTAAAAGTGAATTAAAACTAGTTGGGCCCTGGCCGGTTTGGCTCAGCGGTTAGAGCGTCCGCCTGCGGTCCGGAGAGGCCCGGGTTCGGTTCCGCTAAGGGCATGTACCTCGGTTGCAGTTTGTCCCCGGCCCTGGTTGGTTGTGTGGGTGGCAGCCACTCGATGTGTCCCTTTCACATCGATGTTTCCCTCTCTCTTCCTCTCTCTCCCTCCCACTCTGTCTGTACAAAAAATGGAAAAAAAAAAACAAAAAAAAACTAGTTGGTTTCTAGAACTCTTTTGGGGTATATAAATAGAGCTAGGTAAATTATTGGGATTTGGCTTTCAAGATACTTTCAATTTTATATGTCGCTGTACACTGATTAACTTCTAATTACATTGCCAGTGAATTTCCTTCGTGGGTCAGATGTTGGAGTTACCTGAATAGGTAGTTTCTAGCACTGCAGAATATGAGGATGCCATCAGAAGGCACTCAACATTCAGAGACTTAGCAATGTTCTATTGTATTATGAACAAATAAATGAATCTTTCATGCACAGGATAAGTTTTCTCCCTATGCAGCATTTGTCTTATACAGACTGGAATCTCAGAATAATATTCTACTCTGGTCCACAAAAGCAGCATAATCTGGAGACTAAATTATAGAATTAATTTGGTCTCTACCACTTTAAATATGACATTTTTTTTCAGTGCCATAATAAGTTAACTGTCACGTATCTTTTGAACTAGGGGATATGCTCCTTTCATGATACAACCGTAGAGTAATACAGGTTACATAGAAAGAATTCCTTCTTCAGGCTAAACTCCTTGGACTGCTGAGAAAATGCAGGCTTAGAGAGGTTATGTTAGACCAAGTTTACATAGCTAATTAGCTGCAGGGCAGCAACTGGAAGCCAGGTGTACCTACTTCAAGCTGACGTATATGATCTGTAAATTTAAGATGGCTCTAGTAGTTAAATTAAAGCTCCCGTTTTTTCCCTTCTTTTGTTTCTTAGAGTTGGAAAAGCTCCTGAGTAAGTTTGGACAGGATACACAAAGAATAGAAGATTCTGTGCTGATTGGATGCTCCGAACAGCATGAAGCATGGTTTGCTCTGGATCTAGGTCTAACTAGCTCCTCTTCCAGAAATGGTACACAGCATTATTCCTAATGGGTTACTTACCCATGATTCTCAGACTTTGGGATTTCACATGATAGTAAAATTTCAGAAAAAAATTGGGAATACAGAGAGGTAATCAACCTTCTGTTTTTTTGTTTGTTTGTTTTTTTAAAGTTAGGACGTAAAACAAACCACTACCATCTACTATCATCATTTAGAATAAGTTAGCCCTGGCCAGTTTGGCTCAGCGGTTAGAGCGTTGGCCTGTGGTCCAGAGAGACCCGGGTTTAGTTCCCACTAGGGGCACATACCTCGGTTGCAGTTTGTCCCCGGCCCTGGTTGGGGTCATGTGGGTGGCAACCAGTAGATGTGTCTCTCTCATGTCGATGTTTCTCTCTCTCTTCCTCCCCCTCTCCCTCCCGCTCTATCTGAAGACGAATGCAAAAATGTCTTCGAGGCCCTGGCCGATTTGGCTCAGCGGTTAGAGCATCGGCCTGCGGTCCGGAGAGACCCGGGTTCGGTTCCCGCTAAGGGCATGTGCCTCGGTTGCAGTTTGTCCCCGGCCCTGGTTGGTCGTGCGGGTGGCAGCCGCTCGATGTGTCCCTTTCACGTCGATGTTTCTCTCTCTCTCTCTCCCTCCCACTCTATCTGTGCAAAAAATGGGAAAAAAAGTCCTCGGGTGAGGATTAAAAAAAAAAAAAAAAGTCTTCGAGTGAGGATTAAAATAAATAAAGGAATTTTAATGCTTTCTTTCTAAGGTAGGGGGTGAGTACAAAGATGGTTATTGTATTATTCCCTGTACCTTTATACATTTTATGTCATAAATATTCCATAAGAAATTTTTTACAATTTATGACATCATTCTTGTATCTTTTATCAATGCAAGTGATTAAACATGTTACCTTGAAGTAGCTCTGAATCTTCAGATCTGCGTTTGGGAATCAGTTGGCTGTAGGCTCATGGCTCCTATCAGGCCTTTCTTCTCTCTTTCAGGGTGTGGGTGCAAATGTAATAATGCTGACATGAGGTTCAGAGAGAAGCTTAGAGGTCCCATTTCATCCTTTCCGCCGCCCCCCGCTCCCCCCAGGGATAGTGTATGGCTAGTACAAATGTTCTTATCGCCCTGAAGACAATCTTGTGAAATAGCACTGTGCTGTTTCCCAAATTTGCCTGAATATAAGAATCACTTGATGCTTATTAAAAAAATAAAGATTTCTGGGCCTCACTCACCTGCTGTTCAGAATCTCCACAAAGGGGCTTAAGAATATATATATATATATTTGAGAGAGAGAGAGAGAAACATCGATTTGTTGTTCCACTTATTTATGCATTCATTGGTTGATTCTTTTATGTGTCCTGACTGGGGATCACACCCACAACCTTGGTGTATCGGGACAATGGCTGGCCAGGGCTGAGAACTTGTATATTTTTTATTTTCCCTAGGTGAGTTTGGGAAACACTGTTCTAACAGAATATGTTTGAGAGGGGCCCTGAGACAATTTGACATTTATTTCATTTCATTCTCTTTTCTAATTTTCTAGCTTCCTTACAGAAATCTGAAATGGAGACCGAGCTAACCGGGTCTTTCATTGAGTTGAGAAAGGCTCTCTTTCGGCTGAATGTCAAGGATGCCTCCTTGCTATCCACGGTAGATTATAATTTCTCAGTTCTGTAGGAAATTAGTAATGCAGTATATAGGGGCAAACACATGCAAGCATAACACAAGGTTAGAGCTACATTTGATTTGTTCTTTTGCAAATTATTGTTCTTCTTACAAACTTTGACCAGACAATGTGCTGTAGGGAGACTGCTATTCTTCTTTCTTTTGACCTTGTTGTTGGCAGGATTCCTGTCAGGAACATTTTTTCCTAAGGACATGCTGATCTATGGCATCTATCAGCCTCATAAACATTTTTAATGACCCACAGCATGTCATGCATTGTTTTTCCTATGAGAAATTATTTTTTATTGCTTCGACTCATCCTCATAGCTTTACACTTCAGTTGCTAAAATACTTTTGATTATCCATTTAATTTAGAAATATCTCTAAACAATTTTTATTTGAAAAAATATTCAGGCTTTACTGAAAAGGAATACATGTTGAGATGTTCAACTATAATGGAAATGTTTTATTTTTAAGCTGGGTCATAAGTACAGGGGGTGTTCATTTTAATATTTTATATATTACATATATTTTCAATAATTCATAATACACTTAAACTATGCTTTCTTTCATTCATATTTCAGATGCTGGAGTAATAGGTTCAATAGTTCCTTAAAATTTAGACAGTCGATAACCATTTAAAGTAGGTGAACTGGAAAGGCACTGGCATTTTCCTTAGAGTTACTCTAAAAACTAGGCCCAGCACTGTTATAGATGAGCCCACATTCTCTCCAAGTAAAACCAAGCCCATCTTCGTACTTCTAGGCTCAGGCTCTCCTCCGTTGGCATGATGGTCATCAGTTCTGCAGCAGAAGTGGGCAGCCCACCAAAAAGAATGTGGCTGGCAGCAAGCGTGTATGCCCTTCCAATAAGATCATCTATTATCCACAGGTAAATACTGCTTTATTTATTTATTTATTTTGGTACATGCCCCTAGCGGGAACCGAACCCAGGACTCTCTGGTCTGCAAGCCGACGTTCCAACCGCTGAGCCAAACCGGCCAGGGCGTAAGCACTGCTTTAGAAGGACAGTAATCCAAGAAGGCTGTACACTGCTCTGTCCTGAGGATGGAACCTGTACACTTACAAGGCTTTCCTTAGTGATTCATTTCTTCATCCTACTTACAAGCTCCACAGCCCTAGTAAGTTTCCATCCTCTTTTCCTAGATGGCTCCTGTGGTGATCACCCTGGTGTCAGACGGGACTCGATGCCTGCTTGCCCGCCAGAGTTCCTTTCCAAAGGGAATGTATTCTGCTTTAGCAGGTTTTTGTGACATAGGTAAGGACTTTAGGGCATGTACAAATGGCACGGGCAGACACGATAGTGTATCCAGCAGTAGTAATTTTCTCTGTGTTCCTGTTATAGAACTTGGAGTCTCAAGTACCTTGTTCCCTGTCATGTCAAGAAAATTGCCTGGCATTATAATTTTCTGATATTTTACAGGCAAATTTTCAAATATGCAGCATAGTTGAAAGCACTATGTAGTGAAAACCCATACACTTACCACCTGGATTCTATCATTTTTTTATATTTACTTTATCATATACCTGTCTATCCATTCCTTTATCAATCCATCTTATGTTTTGATGCATAGATTGCAGATGTTAGTACACTTCTCCCTAAATATTTCAGCATACATAATATTAACTGGAATTCAATATTTATTTATAGGTTTTCTTTTTTCTAAGTCTATTGGGGTAAAATTTGCAAATGATGAAGCGTGGCATTAGAATTTCATTAAAGCTGATGGCAGCAGTAACCTCTCCCATTTCCACTCTTATTTTGTATTATAACTAACTGATAGGTTTAAGTATTGCAGTTCAACACCCAACTCAGACTTGATTCCTGTTGTTGTAGAGACTCAGAGATTTCAGGCTCTCCCAAGAGTATTTCATTGAAGTCAGTTTTGCGCTCTTTCACAAATGGGCATCTGTATCACTCCTCCTGCTGCCGGGCTGTCCTGAATTAATCTGAGTGCTTGTAGGTGAAAGTCTGGAAGAGGCTGTCCGGAGAGAAGTTGCAGAAGAGGTGGGATTGGAGGTGGAAAGACTGCAGTATTCTGCATCCCAGCACTGGCCCTTTCCTAATAGCTCACTCATGATTGCTTGTCATGCAACTGTGAAACCAGGGCAGACAGAGGTATGTTCTGATGCTTCCCTCATGCTGTGATATTTCCTTTGCCACACTCAAACTTGTCATTAGGTACTTACTAAGCATCTGTCTAGTCCAACATTTTTAGATTGCACAAAGATGGTAAGATATTATTTATATCCTTAAGGAATTTTCCATCTTGTGGAAAATTCGTAAGGATATATAATGACCATGAGAACTGGGAGTGCCAACAGGATCACCATTCTTCCTTGTACATATCTCAATCATGAGACAACTTATCTTTCATCATCATGACTTAACAGAGCATCTGTTTAGGCACATAATATATAAACTTTAGTGATTGATTTCAAGATTGATCTTTTTTTTTAATCCTTACCCAAGGACATTTTTGCATTTATCTTCAGATAGAGAGGGAGGAAGAGAGAGAAACACTGATGTGAGAGAGACACACTGACTGGTTGCTACCCACCCGACCACACGACCCCAACCAGGGCTGGGGACAAACTGCAACCGAGGTATGTGCCCTTAGTGGGAACCAAACTCGGTTCATGGGCCAACGCTCTAACTGCTGAGCCAAACTGGCCAGGGCTCAAGATTGATCTTATTGCTCAAGTCAATCAGGATGTTGAGCACTAATAATTATTATCAATTGAATATAATTGATAATGATTATAGGAACTTCTGGTTGGAAGGGACTTAGATATTGTCTTGTTCAACCTCATCTTGCTCTTCTGAAGCATCCCTGACAGAAGGCATTGCAGTACCTACCTACCAAAGTCTGTCTTTATCCTCACCTGAGGACATTTTTCCATTTTTTGTTCAGATAGAGTGGGAGGGAGAGAGAGGAAGAGAGAGAGAGAAACACTGATGTAAAAGGGACACATCAAGTGGCTGCCACCTGCACGACCAACAAGGGCCGGAGACAAACTGCAACCGAGGTACGTGCCCTTAGTGGGAAACGAATCTGGGTCTCTCTGGACCACAGGCCGATGCTCTAACCGCTGAACGAAACCGGCCAGGGCCCAAAGTCTGTCTTTATATTTTGGTTTCTGTAGAATGAATAATATCTAATCTGACTGAGCTTCCTGTAGATTCAGTTTGTGCTTTTCTTCTTGCAAAAAAGATACTATGATTTTGATTATCATTAATAACCTTTACCTTTTAAAGAAGAGTAACATTTGTATGGTACACAATCAATAGAGGCACAAAGCAAAACAAGTATTATTCATAATTTGCTCCATGTTAACCACTCTTAATATTTTGGTATTTGTACTTCTAGGTTTTTACCATTTTTATTTTTTTATTTATTATTATTTTTATTTTTTTTATCTTTATTGTTGAATGTATTATAGATGTTCCTCATTTTTCCCCCATTGACCCCCTCCTCCCCACTCCCACGCCCCTCCTGCCTTTCCCCACACTGTTGTCTGTGTTCATTGGTTATGCATAAATACAAGTTCTTTGGTTTATCTCTTCCCACCCCCCAACCCCCTTCCCTTTGAGGTTTGTCAGTCTAACAACCAATTTGTACTTCTTAATCCCTTCACCTTTTTCACCCATTCCCCTGTCCCCCCTTCAATCTGGCAACCAACAAAATGTTCTCTGTGTCTATGAGAATATTTCTGTTCTGCCTATTCATTTTTTTGTAGATTCAATTGTCGGTAGGTAGGTATTCATTGCTATTTTGTTTGTTCATATTTTTTATCTTTTTCTTCAAGAAGACCCTTCAACATTTCATATAATAATGGTTTGGTGGTGATGAACTCCTTTAACTTTTTTTGGTCTGGGAAACTCTTTATATGGCCATCGATTCTAAAAGAGGGCTTTGCAGGATAGAATAATCTTGGGTGTAGGTTCTTGCTTTTCATCACTCTGAATGTTTGTTGCCACTCCCTTCTGCCTGCAGTTTCTTTTGAGAAATCAGCTAACAGTCTTATGGGAACTCCCTTGTAGGTAACTAACTGCTTTTCTCTTGCTGCTTTTAAGATCCTCTCTTTGGCCCTGGCCGGTTTGGCTCAGCGGTTAGAGCGTTGGCCTGCGGTACAGAGAGACCCGGGTTCGGTTCCCGCTAAGGGCGCGTACCTTGGTTGCAGTTTGTCCCCAGCCCTGGTTGGTTGTGCGGGTGGCAACCACTCGATGTGTCCCATCACATCGATGTTTCTCTCTCTCTCTTCCTCTCTCTCCCTCCCGCTCTGTCTGAACAAAAAATGCAGAAATGTCCTCGGGTGAGGATAAAAAAAAAAAAAAGATCCTCTCTTTGTCTCGAAACTTTTGCATTTTGATGATGATGTGTCTTGGTGTGGGCCTCTTGGGGTTGATCTTGTTTTGGACTCTTTATGCTTCCTGGACTTGTATGTCTGCTTTCTTCACCAAATTAGGGAAGTTTTCTGCCATTATTGTTTCAAATAGGTTTTCGATCTCTTGTTCTCTCTCTTCTCATTCTGGCACCCCCAAGATGTGAATGTTGGCACACTTGAAGTTGTCCCAGAGACTCCTTACACTATCCTCACTTTTTTGGATTCTTTTTTCTTTTTGCTGTTCTGATTGGGTTTTTGCTTCTTTATATTCCAAATTGATGGTTTGCTTCTTGGCTTTACTTACTCTACTATTGAATCTGTGTAAATTATTCTTTATTTCAGTTAGTGCCTCCTTCATTTTTGACTGTGCACCCTTCATTTCTGACTGGTCCTTTTTTATGCTCTTGAGGCCCTCACTAAGTTCACTGAGGTTCTCACTAAGTTCACTGAGCCTCCTTATAAGCAGTGTTTTGAACTCTGTATCTGTTAGGTTGCTTATCTCCATTTCACTTAGTTCTTTTCCTAGGGTTTTGTTCTGTTCTTTCATTTGGAACCTGTTTCTTTGTCTCTTCATTTTGGCTGCCTCCCTGTGTTTGTTTCTATGTATTACTTAACAAGAGGTGTGGGGCTAGCTGGGATCAGATGCTGCTTGTTTGAAAGAATTTAGGAAAAGCGGGATCCAAGACAGGCCAATCCTATGGTAAAGCGACTGGCAACAGCTTGGGTGGGCCTGAAAGTGGGGTGGGGCAGGGCCTCAGGGAGTCACCAGGGCGGGGCTACCAGTGTGAGCCAGGTTGCTGGAGTCCCAGATATGGCGGCTGTCTGCTGTCCCAGGGAAGGGCTCACCAAAGGAACAAAGGCCTCTGATAGCACATCTGTCCAGGAGAAAGCTGCCTCTCCAACCCTTGCTCCAATGCCAAACAACTTAGTTCTTCCCCTTATCTCTGGTGCCTTTCAAGCTGCCTCCCCCACACTGGAGCCTGGAAGGTGCGAGTCCGAGTGCATGGGCTCGCTGCCTGGAGCTCCAGCCACCTCAGCCTCAGTTCCTGCTGGTTTTTCCAGCCAGAAGTTAAGGGGACTTCTCTTCCTGGCACTGGAACCCTGTGCTGGGCGCCTAGTGTGGGATGGGAACCCCTCAGTCTTCGGGGAGGACCTTCCCATTCGAGATGTCCCTCCTGATTTTTATCTGCCCCTCCTACCAGTCTCAGTGTGGCTGCTTCTCTACTTTTGTAGTTGTAGAACTTCCATTCAGCTTGGTTTCAGGTGGTTTTGAATGATGATTGTGTTGTAGTTTGATTGTAACTTTGATGTGGTTGTGGGAGGACGCGATACTGCATTTACCTACACCGCCATCTTGACCAGAAGTCCTCTTTATTGATTTTAGAGAGGAACGGAGAGGGAGATAGAAACATTGATGAGAGAGAACATCGATTGGCGGCCTCCTGCATGCCCACCCCCTCTCCCGGGGATTTGGCCCACAACCTGGGCATGTGCCCTGACCTGGAATCAAACCGGTGACCTCCTGGTGCATGGGTCGACGCTAAACCACTGAGCCACACCAGCTAGGCTCTAGGTTTTTACTATTAAAATATATTTCACTCTCATCTGTTAATTATGCCTCTTTTGTTTCTGGGCACTATCTAGAATTGATTCTCTCCCAGCCTATGGATCCCAGGTATTAGCTTCTAAGATTGCTCAATTCTAGAAATGTTTTCTCGCCTTTGGCCATAGTCTTCTAAATTTTGTAGCTCCTAATTTTATATTCTGTTTTTCCTGATGTGTTTCAGATCCAGGTGAACTTGAGCGAACTAGAAGCAGCTGCCTGGTTTAGTCATGATGAGGTGCTCACAGCCCTGAAGAGAAACCACCCATACACTCAGCAACAGAATGGGACTGTCCCATTCTGGTTGCCCCCTAAGTTAGCCATCGCCCATCAACTGATTAAGGAGTGGGTGGAAAAACCTATCTGTTGTTCCCTGCCTGCTTAGCTCAGATCAGGCCACCCAGATCCCTCCTCAGTATCCCGGGGGTGGGGCTGGAGGATGGGCTTCTCAAAGGTCAGTTGAAAGGGGAAGGTGACAAAAGGCCATATCCAGCCAGCCTCATATCAAAGCAGAGAAGGTGAGCTTACAGCAAGACAGCTCTACCAGCAGTGTTAATGAAAGAAGTTCCTACTCATAGGCAATAAAAAATGCCAGAGTGAGCCCTGCCAGTGTGGCTCAGTGGACTGAGCGTCGCCGTCGACTGAGCGGTCCCAGTTCGATTCCCGGTCAGGGAACATGCTTGGGTTGCAGGCTCGATCCCCAGTAGGGGGTGTGCAGGATGAAGCTGATAGATGCTTCTCTCTCACATTGATGTTTCTATCTCTTTCTCCCTTCCTTTCTCTCTAAAAAATAAATAAAAACATATTTTTAAAAAAAGTGTCAGAGTGAGAAGAAAAACTAATGGGATGGCAATCGTCAAAATCAGAGGGAAGGTTGAAGCTTTAGTTTGTTTCTGTGTGGGCCCTTGTTTACCCATTTTCTCTGAGGCCTTGGAAGCAAACATCTTTTGGCATGCTAGGTTTATATATAACTACCAAATGTGCCTGGTATAATTCTGATTAAAACTTTTATCTTAATACTGAAAATATATAGCAAATCTCAACTCACTGAGTTACTGTTTATCCTCACAGAATTAAGACAAAGAGTAGAACATAACATTTTATTTTTTTATTAAAAATATATTTTATTGATTTTTTTTTTTTTTTAGAGAGAGAGAGAAACATCAATTGGCTGCCTCCTGCACGCACCCTACTGGGGATCGAGCCTGCAACCTAGGCATGGTCCCTGACCAGGAATTGAACCGGGACTTCTCAGTCCATGGGATGATGCTCAATCCACTGAGCCACACCAGCCAGGCTCGAACATAACATTTTAAAATACATGTATAGGTATTACTTTGTACATGGTAGATAAATAGAAGTCATATTTCTTTTTTTTTTTTTCTTTAATCCTCACCCGAGGACATTTTTCCATTTTTTATTCAGATAGAGCAGGAGGGAGAGAGAGAGAAACATGGATGTGAAAGGGACACATCGAGTGGCTGCCACCCGCATGACCCAACCAGAGCCGGGGACAATCTGCAACCGAAGTACATACCCTTAGCAGGAACCAAATCTGGGTCTCTCTGGACCGCGGGCCGATGCTCTTAACCACTGAGCCAAATGGGCCAGGGCAGAAGTCATATTTCTTTAAGTCAGCTGAAGGGATGAGGGAAGTGGGAGCTAAGGTCTTCCTCAGGGTCCGTAATAAATCAGACGCAATGATGTTCTGTTGAGGTAACTGCATTCCAGTGAGGCTCAAGATGGGTCTTGTTTGCTGTTACCTGCTCAGTTTGTGACTCAAGGAAGTGATTATCACTTTGCCATTCCTGTTTTCCTAAATATAAAATGGTTGCTGTCGTTTGTATATCCAGTAACTTCAACTAAGGGATAAGTGAGGATGAACCATTTCTTGAGTTTTATGGGATAAACTAAATTTAAGATTTCTCATCATTCATATATGCCATTTTACACCTTGTCATATGGGAGAAGAACTTATCTGGAGGAAATAAAATGATTTCCATACCTTTGTTCAGGTGTATTTTTCTGTCTTATGAAGTGAGGAAATTGCAGAAAGTGAGAATTTGGAGAGGTGGGGGGACAACTGAAGTAATGTACAGAAGAAATACTGTTGGAGGCCAGTCTGAAAGCAGGAATGGACGGCTGGGGAAATACTAGTTGTATCTGCAGATGATTTTAGGCACTAACTTGTGATTAATAATACATGTGTGCCAGAAACCCTAAGATGATGCCTACATCCAAGTTCCATAGAACTAAGAAAAATAGATTCTAGACCTATAAAAGTTGAAGCACTGAATTTCCTTTTGAAACCAAAAGGTCATTGCTGTCACTATTGGCAGCAAACCACCATTGCTTTGGGAAATCAAAGTGCTTTCATCCAGGAAATGCTGAGATAAAATGAGATGGGATTTGAGTGTCCTGTTAGACTGGCAGCTTGCTTTGACCTGAGCTGAACCCAGCATGTAGAAGGGAAAAGCACTCTCGAAAGAGAGGTCCTGAGATTTCCTCATATCTTGCAGTTAGAAGAAAACAGTTCAGGGTCCATGTGTATTACAGTCTCCCAATCTTTCTATCTCTATGTGGGTGTGTTTGTGAGCACATGTGTACACATCTCCAGTCTGAAAATACAGGATAGAAAGGGGAGTGTGTAGTGTTTCTCAAAATTACCATGGAGTAACTATTTGCTTTTGGATTAATGTGTTGTTTTAGAAAGGAAAAGATGAGAGTGGCTAATAGGAGAAGCTACAACACTGAACTTTGTTTCCCAGCAATGAGTGGGAAGAGAGCTTTGCTTTTTAGAACTCCAAAGATATCTAAAAGCTGAGGCAAAAGAGGACAAGGTTGGATACTGAAAACGACAGATAAACAAAAGAAACTTTGGCACAGGGCTTACTTGGCTGGAGAATATTTATGTGGCAATTAATTACAAAGGTGCTAAGGATAAGAAAACCCACTGGGTCTATGAAATAGAATAATAAACACAAGTAAAACTTACATGTATTTGTCACCAGAGTGAGCGTGGCTCAAGGTCATTCCTGGTAACTGGAATAAAAAAAGCAACTCATACAGTCCTTATTTTTGACTACCTTCCTTTCTCTACCCAACATTTAATCCTTAATAAAAAAAAAAAACAATGTTCTAAACATGGAGTATGTAAATCTCATCTCAGTGGCTTCTCTCTTCTGCTCACTTCAAAACCTGTGTGCACCCCTTGGAGATCACAAAGACCCCTGCAGGGAGGGCAATTTTGAGGAGAAGTCAACCTGTGAAACTTGTAATGAAGAAACATTTTTACTAAATAAGTACTCTAAACTAGAAATGCGCACACTCAGATTCAATCTTTATTTAAGAAGAAAAAGAGATGGGTCAGGTTTGCGGTTAATCTTTCGTGGGCTTACTTGTGGGTCTGTGATCAGTGTTGTCCGGCAGCTGCACTCCCATGCTTTGTAAGAGGTTGGAAGCAGGTCCTGCCAGTCCAGCTTGGGAACTATATGATTCCAATATATTTGAAACCAGGTTCAGGTCGACATCCACTGGTGTCATAACAGATCCTCCTGCACCAGTATGTTCCTCATCTGAATTGTTACTGGTTGTCTGGGATAGAGATTCCTTGTTAATAGAGGGAAAAGAAAATCATGGGATAATATGCCAATAGGTTGATGGTAGTTACAATACAAAGCTAACCAACAACATAAAATTGAATTCCAAATTATCCTTCTTGATAGAAAGTAAAAACAAAGTCTAATAAACTGTGATTTAACACACATTAAAATTTGATTCCAAAATTTATAAAACACTTCTTTCTAGAAGTTTCTACAAATTGAAAAAAATCTTTCCTGTTTTGAAATAGCCCAAGGGAGATAACCAGGGTTAAAGAGGTATATTTATACTGTGCCTAAGAGTTAAAAAATAAAAATAAAAAAAGAATCTAAATTTTTTTCTAAGTAAAATAACTAGATTCCCCTATATTCCCCTAATGACAAAACTTTTTTTTGGGTTGAACAACAAAGACTGAATTGTTACTTAAGCCTCTGATTTCACAGGTTGGGGAAAGGATTTGAAAGATGCAACTTAATCTACTCAAAGTGGTCCATGGCCCAGCAGCATGTGCATTGCTTGGGGACTTGTTAGAAATGTAAAATCTCGGGCCACACTCCACATATACTTAGCCAGAATCTATATTTTTATCATATCTTTAGGTGGCTCATATTCACATTAAAATTTAAGAAACACTGCTTTAGATAAATCTAATGTATGGTTTCTATTAGGTTTTGGCAATATAGGAAGTGACTATAATTTTAAATGTGGTTTAGATGATCAAAGCAAGGGAATAACATTAATTAAGGGTCCATTATGGGTTCTACTGTTGTCTCACTTGACTCTCATGTTAATTCTATGACACAAGGATTATTGATTGGTTAATGGATACAATTACAGTGAATGGCAGAGATGGATTTCAAACCCTCACCCATGAGACTCCAGGGTCCCCTTCTATTTCCCTATCTAGTGTTAGACAGTGCTGGTATATAAACTAGGATTAAAACATTCTAAATTTGGTTCTAAATTAGGAAAACATACAAAAACACTATTAAGACTTGAAAAATATTTGGATATTTAAGGTCAATTCTCCTTTAAAAAAAAAAAAAGAATTTGCCCTGGCCGGTTTGGCTCAGCGGTTGGAGCATCGGCCTGCGGTACAGAGAGACCCGGGTTCAGTTCCCGCTATGGGCACGTACCTCGGTTGCAGTTTGTCCCCGGGCCTGATTGGTTGTGCGGGTGGCAGCCACTTGATGTGTCCCTTCACGTCGATGTTTCTCTCTCTCTTCCTCTCTCTCCCTCCCGCTCTATCTGAACAAAAAATGGAAAAATGTCCTCGGGTGAGGATGAAGAAAAAAAAAAAAGAATTTAAGTTGTTAGTTGTAGTGCCACATACTAATTTCGTTCTTTCTTTCTTTTTTTTTAATCCTCATCTGAGGATATTTCTCCATTGCTTTTTAGACAGAGTGGAAGGGAGAGAGGGAGAGAGAGAGAGAAATATCGATATGAGAAAGACACATCTATCGGCTGCCCCCCTGTGCCCCCCACTGGGTCTGAGGATCAAACCTGCAATTGAGGTACGTGCCTCTGACCAGGAATTGAACCTGTGACCCTTTGGTCCGCAGATCAATGCTCCAACTGCTGAATCAAACTGGTCAGGGCCCACATACTGATTTCAACACATCACATGACTTCATTTTATTTTATTTTTTTAATCCTTACTCAAGGATATTTTCCCATTTATCTTCAGATAGAGCGGGAGGGAGAGAGGGAGGAAGAGAAAGAGAGAAACATCGATGTGAGAGAGACACATCGAGTGGTTGCGACCCACATGACCCTAACCGGGGCTGGGGACAAACTGCAACTGAGGTACATGCCCTTAGTGGGAACCAAACCCGAGACTCTCTGGTCCGCAGGCCAACGCTCTAACTAACCACTGAGCTAAACCCACCAGGGCCACATGACTTTATTTTAAATCCTGATAGATAATATAGAATAAGTAATATAATGAGGCTTATTTTAGGAAAATAAAGTTAATTATCCTTCATTTTACCAGACTTAGG